CGGTTAGAAATATATGAAGAGAAAAGTTCCTGACAACTATATTTCCGTAGGTTATGCAGCTGAAAGAAGGTTTGTAGAATTTCGAAATTCACCGTGTACTGTGATTGTGTTATAATTTCTGTATTTTTTCTTGCAGGATAAATGGGAAGAAAGAAATTTTGTGTTCGTCATCCAGTAGGCAGACTGGTTTGAAATTTTCCAGAGATTCAGTACGTTAAGTCTGTCTTAATGGGTTTATTATGTGTTGCATTATTAAAGTTTAAATTAAATTAAGTCTAGATAGTGTCTGTATTAAACTTTCCCCCTCAACCTAGCACCAGCACCATGTTTGTAATACTTATATGTAGATTAATTATTTCAAGGTTTTGAGACAATATGTAATGCTCTTACAGGGCTGTGGTATGGACAGGAAGGGTTGGGATATCCTGCACCATTGATTCTGCTAGAATGCTGCACTAGAAAGTGATTTCACTACAACTGAACAGATTCGCAGTTCCATGTAGATCAGATTCTGCAGCACAATCACTCCCACAACCTCCTTATCATTACACACCATTCCAGGTAAGCACCATATGCTTCTTTTATGAATGCAGTGGCTAATAGTGAGGACTAGTTTTCAAAGTTATTGTTCCAAGACCCCAGTTGTAATCAAACAAATATCATTGTCATAATTTATTACTACTGAAACTATATCAATATACAGGTCATGTAGAATATGTCACAAATACTAATGTTTTAGGATAATTAAAAAGTGTTTGAGAAGCTGAACATGCTTTCAGTAATACTATTTATGAGAGAATGAGGTGGTAAAAGCTTTACTATGAGGAATAAAGTAACAAGTGTACAGATTTTTTATAGAGGCAGTGTGTTGTAAAGTAATATGTGTCATTTCCCAATGCGAAGAATTATGGTAATCCACCATGTAGGGAAGCACACTAATTTTGCATTGTTCTTTTCATTCAGGAGGGTGCTCCAGTAAATACCTGGCAACAGCAGCGTTTATTGAGGAGACTGACAAACTTTTTGAGAGTTTAAATGGTGGAACGCCTTTTGACCCTAAGAAAACACTGTGGTACCCACTAAGCGATAACAGTCCCAATATAGAGCACTGGGTAAAGGCAAGTATGGGTTTAAACAGTTGGATCATCCTCAAGGATGATAAACCCGCCTTTCTTCATCCTCCTTCGCAGAATGGGTGGCTGATTGACATTACTGCTGCCCAGCATTTGTGGAAGACAGTGAAAGAGGCTTACCACTACCTCACTTTTGCTGTTTGAAGCCAATTGTGTTGTCATTGGCCCAAATTCTGCAACTTCTACAGTGATTGCATTTGGTCTAGATGATCACGTGGTTTGGTGATTGGCCTTTCGTGACCCCTGTCATCTGGATTATGACACTATCTGCTAATGGAGGCAGGTTTTGAACTGCTTTTGTATATTGCTAAGGTACATTACGTCTCAGCTGATTAGCCTGGATAGCTACACTGTGTTCAGGCTAGTTGTCATGTGCAGCAATGAGCAGGCTAATTTATTNGTGTTAGCAAAATGTCAGGGTGTAAAAGGAAGCGTGTTGTGTTAAGAATTCAACAGAAACTCGTTATGAGCCGGGCTTCGAAGTGTTAAGCAGTGACGAAATCGTAAGTTCAGTTGGGGTGCAGCCAGAAGAGTAGGAAGAAAGTGAGAATGAGGAAGAGGTGGACGAGGTGGACAGTGCTGCTAGTAAGAAAATATCGCATGGTGCTGCTCTTAATCATTTGGAATCCTTACAAGGCTATCTCAAGAGTGAAGAGAACAGTTTATTAAGTGACAAGCTAATATTACGTAAGCTTCGTATGGATATCCGTAAAAAGGAAAATGCAGTGAAAAAGCAAAACGACAATATTAATTTTTTTAAGTGTTAAGTGTGAATATTCGTAAAAAGTGTTGGATGTTGTTGAACACTGTGATTGAAGTAACTTATTCATACTTCAGTGTAATGTAAAGAAAGTATTAAATAGGCCACAAGATGACATAAAAATGAGGTTGAATAAATTTAGATACAGGTAGGTCTGTAGCATTATGAAGGTACAGTATTATAGCACTACTCTTAATAAAATTTGTCTTAACCGGGTTTCCGATTAATCGTGATTTCCATCCCCACCATTATCGCAGATAATCGAGAATTGAGTGTATATGATTGTTTCACAGTCATTAATGTAGCCACGTCAAGTCGCCATCAGAGCTTAAATTCGATGATAATTAGACTCTTCTTGGGCTAGATAAATTTTGGCCTACTTGCTGTGGTTGAGGGATGGGAGTAATGGGCTATTTAAGCCTGGCAACATGGCCATATTAGGCTTTTCTCTTGCCTTAGCTAGGTTTCTTGCTCGTCTGATTTGGCTATCGTAGGCAAGTCTCAAGTTAGCTGAATGCCCTGGCTGTCCAGTTCAGAGTGGGTTCAAGGCAGACTGAATATCTCACACTAATGCTAGCTAGCCTAGGCTCTGGCTGTAATACTGAGGTTGGGTATCTTTCTCGGTTAAGGAGCACGGAAAGCTTGGATAGGCCATACTGGTTAACGGGCTGTGTAGGCCTGTAGCATTGTGAGTCTTCAACGCTCCAGCATTTTGTGGAGAAGAATCAGCAACCATCTGTGTGATGTCTCTGCCCTCTTAACTTATAAAATATGGGCAAAACAGAGGAAAAGGAGTGTGTGTCAAATAATGTATATTGTATGGACATATCTGGTATCAGAAGAAACTTTTATTCAATATGAAAATAAAATTTATTTTGCTAAAAAATCCTACTCCTGAAGTAGCCGTATATTCAAATTTCACAAAACTGCAGTAAACACAAGATGACAGTTTTTCCTGGATTTCATTCTTTTGAACAAAGCAATATCCATTTGTGTTACAACATGAAACAGTTTGAGAAGTACAAACTTATAGGATTCTTCAGCAGTTTTACAGTAACATTCCTTCTCTAACAAACATCAATACTCAAAGCCGCAGATATGGTTCAATGTCCGTCAGTATCTACAAGAGTGTGAACAAATTTGTTCATACTCATGTGTTCCAGAACAAAGAGGAAGATATGTCACTTTCTGATGTGATAAGAGCTTCAGAGAGTTTACAAATCTTACAAATTCTTGTGAGAGGTCTCATTCGACTGCAGTAATGCAGCCAGGGAATTACAAATAGCTTACCTCAACCCAGTACAAAAGGCCAAATCTCTTTTTTCATGTTAATTTGTGTTGTGCCACTTTTCTGCCACATCTTAGTGAATCACTGATGTAAATGGAGCTGTTTATACACAGCCACACAATTCAGTAATGGTTTGCTAAGGATTTTTTCCATGATTGATTGTGATGTACCACTTTTTTGACATGTCTTAGTACACTACTGATCTGCTTCCACACAGCCACATGAGTGATCAGTGGTTTGTTAACATATTTGCTAAGAAACTAATGAATGGTCCCACAGGCATAAATTTCGTACTATAAATATATTGTCACGTGTTTGATATGTCACATGACAAATAACTTCACGTGGGTCTCGGATTTAGTGAATCTTTATTGGACACTCACACTTATACACCTTACAATTATTACTGCTTGCAGTATCACTTGACTTCTGGCCCAATACTCCAATGCAACGTCTCAATTATCCTTGGCTGTGGCTGGATCTTAACTGTCTCTGGCGGCAGCTATCCAAAGATTGTCTCATTCTCGTCTGTGTTGTCTCTGGCTCTGCTTATATAGGGGTTATGTGGACCGGATATCAAACACCATTTCTCATGGTTCCATTTCTACTATTTCGACAGTGCTGTTACATACTGAGTGTTCATCTCCAGCGGGATTCGGCATTCTCCACGCAACAGCTCACTGTTATCGCATTACCATTGAAGTACCTACTCCAAATACTTACAAAATCTTCATTTATACTGAAGATGAATCTTTCCTATTAGTAGAGTAAACCATAATTACTTGGCATGTATGGAGAATGGGGTCTGCCAGTTACATGAATCTGCTGTTTTCACAAGAAAAGTTCTTGCAGAAACGCAGTTTATAATCAAAATATCATGTTCTTTCTTTAGTTCTTGTGTGGACTCTTCCCATACAATACTGCAGATTGACAGGTGAAAGATTTTGAATTCACAAGATCATAGATTCAACTAGCCTTTACTGAAATGCCATATGCATGATAGAGGGTGATGCTATTGGAAGGTGGGAAAAATATCATAATAATTACTTACCTACTCATGGAGCTGAGCCCTTCTTGAGTAGCCGCCAATTCTGCAGCTACTCAAGAATTTCCCAGCATTTTATGGAACCTGAAGGTTCATCACCGTGTTCACAAGAGCCCTCCACTGGTCCCTATCCTGAGTCAGATCTATCCAATCCATACCATCCCATCCTATCACATAATAATAGTGGCTGAAAATACCCTCATAATTTTTTTTTCAATGACTATAATTTTCTTAGAAGTTTTTGCCAGCTTGATGCCTGGACACCAGATAAACATTAATTTACTGTACATCATCTGATGATTATTAACCCTCAAAGGTATTGAACATTTCACTGAGACTCATATGAGCACTACAGTATTCATATTTGTGTTTCTAGAAGTCTTACTTACAAATACTCTGAGTGTGGCACTCCAATGAGAAGCATTTTGCTGCCCTTCATGTACAGTCTCCACATACTCTTGTGGTAACCTCGAACATCAAGGTCCCAGATCTTTAAGCACTGAAGCAATTTGCAGAATAATGTTATGTGAGTGTTCTATGAAGCCCAGTGAAACATCAGCACAGGGATTTATATCATAACTGAACACAGAGCAAAATCTCACTCAAGGAAGCAACTTCTGTGCACACTCACTGTGTTCTGCTTTGTTACAAATATCTAATTTCAATAACTTGAATGTACTACAAATAAACATATATAATGGGGTACTAAAAACGGTAGGATAAGTAAGCACTATGAGATGCTGCTCTCTAGAGGTACGTTATCACCATTGTTCATCAAAGGAGGTAGGGTGAAGAGGAGGAGGAGGTTTGAAGAAATAGGGGAAAGAAGTGGCATGAGGAAGAGCGTGATTTGGTAGAAGTTAGAAGGAGAATGGGAATATGGGGTGGAGGAGGTAGGGTGACAAGGAGGAAGAGGGTGGAAAAGGAAGCAGGAATAGGAGGACGTGTTTGGTGGTAGAAGGAAGAGAGGAGGGTTTGCTCACTCTACCAACAGCACAACATGTCTGAACCATTACCTTGGCTACTTGCAGCCACGTTACAAAGTCTCTTGGTTCTTCCATTTTGATGAACATTACTATGATTCACCCTGAAACAAAGAAAAAAATATGCAGACATATACATATACATATATGTATAACTTACATCTTATTAAATATTCAATTGGCCTTTTAAATAATGAACATGTTGTAATGAGAAACAGAGATATGTATTTGTATGTTTTGCGGTTTTCATGGCAATGAAGATTCATTCTGTGATATCTGTGTTACAACACCACATTGTAATCTGGAAGGTTGGTCCCAGTGTTTCAGCGAAACATGCTGTTTCCATCCTCAGGATTCAATATTCAAGATGAACTGTCTTCCTCAAAATCATTGGTAACCACCAACGTCACAAGACAACACAGACATCACCATGTGATCAAATGTATTTGATAACTGGTGAAAATATCAGTCTGGGACATGGTATTTCAACGATTTTTAAAATAAACAAAACACCATAATGATTAAATATGTTAGGGAAAAATATGAAGTTGATGTAGTGAATGTTGCGTGTGAAGGCAAACTTTACCCTTT